GAAGAGCACGGAGACCCCTCACATGGGGAGGATGGTGGTGGGGACAGCAAAGTCTTTAGTGACTTGACCCACTTGGCTGCCTTGGCCTACAAGCGCTTGGCTCCTGAGGAGGTGGCCGACTGGTTGCACTTGGATGATGCAGCCCCGGGTGCAGAGGAGGACAATGGGGAAGAGGACGCTGAGGAGGAAGGTCCTGGGGGTTGTGGGGAAGAGGAGGAGGATGAGGAAGAGGCAGCTGCTGGAGATGGAGGTGGCAGAAGGGGAGGGGAAGGAGGAGACACCTTGTTGCCCACAGCTGGAGAAGCCATCAAAGGCCTGGAGACGGCGCTGCGCTGGCTGGAGGGCCAGGACCCCCGGCAAGTGGGGCCGTTGAAGCTGGTGCAGCTCCGTTCCCTCATCAGCATGGCCCAGCGGCTCCACCATGGCAGCAGCCCCCATTCCTAGGGCAGGGTGAGCCACAACCTCTTGGCTACCAACCACCAACCCACTTGGCACCGGGGGGACAGCGGGGCTGGGGACACCCTGGTTGTCCCAGGGTGGACGTACCAGCTCTCCTCACGCCTCCATCATGGGTAGAACCTGGGCTCAGGAGGTCTCAGCACCCCTGGGCTACCACAGCTGCAGGTGGGGGATACAATTTAGGGCTAATGGGTGGGTTGTGCCACAACTCCTCCATGTGTTGTGTCTTTGAGGGTTGTTTCCTCACCTAAGAACATTGAGGAGGTGCTATGGGACCAAGCAGTGGTGGCTCCCTGGTCACTGGCACCACAGGGTTGGATGTCCTCAACATTGCCCAGTCCTCCCAATTCCATGGGGAGAAGGGGTGAGGGAGGACTCTGAGGAGCCAGGACAATGGGGGATGTTGCACTAAGTAATTCCCTATGTCTTGGAGCAGGGCTGAAGTGGGTGCATCCAGCTGGACAGGGACCACTCCTGGGGTGCTAGAAGGCAACTGTTCTGCTCTGGAAGAGGCTGGTGATGCTCTTCCCACTGCCAGAACAGAGTCCTGTTAAACTGGGGAGGTTTGGGGCTGGTTTAAGGCAACTTTCTTCATGCACTGCATTGGGGATAAAGACACTTGGTGGCATCCGAGAAGCTGCGGCTTCCCGCAGAGGGTCACCTCCGTAATTCCCATCACAGCCCGGGAACACCACAAAAACCTGCTGGAACCCCACCAGAGCATCCCCATGAAGCTGAAGGCTCTGGGGATGGAGGTTGAGGTGCCTCATCGCTGGGTTTGTGGGGTGGTTGGGGCTGGAGGACACATCTCACAGTACAAGGGAGATGTTCATCATGAGTGGAGGTGGGAGCAGGAGGGGTTCCCAGCACTGCCTTGACATACACCAGATGTGAATTTAGCAGCCCTTGACCTGATTTGGATGAATTTTTGGCCTGCTCAGCCAAATTATTGACAGAATTGAATGAAACCACCCATAACCCATCAGTGCTGCCTTGTCCTGTGGCAGCAGTGGGGTGGGTGCTTCTGCTGCTGGGTCTTTGTCTCATAACTTCAGAGTTTATGAAAATTAAATGGATTTTTATTCCCACTTTGGTGCTGTTGTGTGTGAACAGTCATGTGGAACCATGGGGGTGACACAAGGGGACCTCCATGTGCTTGTGTCCCATGTTCTGTCAGCTTTGGGAGGTGAGAACATTGAATCATGGAATAGTTTGGGTTGGAAAGGACCTTAAAGCTCATCCAGTTCCAACCCCTGCCCCGGGCAGCAGCAACTTCCCCTAGAGGAAGATGCTGC